AAGTGCAAGGACATCGCCGCCCGAAAGAAGGCCCGCGGCAACGGCGTGGCGGCGGAAGGGCGGGGGGAAGAAGCAGCCCCACCAGCGGGAAGCGGTCCGCAACCGCCGCCTCCGCCGGCGGCGGTCGCGGGGACGGCGGCGGCGGTGGTTCCCGGTCGGCGGTTGCCCCAAACTACACGTCGGAGAGCGTAATCGAGGACATCTACGGCGGGGTGGCGGCCCAGCAGACGGGGACCGGGTCCCGGGACCGCGCCACGAGGGCCTCGAGGAGATCGGCCAGTTCGGTATGTTACGTCACGGGTGGAGGCTGGGCTTGTAGTAGGCGGGGAGAGGGAGGGCGTCACTTATAGCAACATCGAATTCTCGACAAGGTGTCCGGCCTGCCCACCCGCGACTCTATGTGGATTTCGTTTTGGTTCTCGAGTGCGCGCGTGGAAAGAAGCAACTAGAAATGAGTGGTGCGGCGGAAGGGTGTCCGCTCTGTTTCGGCACACGCCCCTTTTGGAGCCAGAAGGCGGCCGGCTGGGGCTGCTCTCGGCTGGTTGGTGAGCTTGCTTCTCTCGTCCGGCCACCGCTGCGCTTGACCATCAGCTCCTGCCGGCTCGTGTGTGTATCATTCCCGGCACGTGTGTGCTGTTGTCTCTGCTGCTGGTGGTGGTGCCGTCTGCCGGTTTCCGGTTGCGTTGTGCACACAAGAGACAGAATCCACCACCGACCGACCGACCGACCGACCGCTCTTCCCTCTCCTTTTCACATTGTGGCCATATGTACGCCTCCTGGTTCTTTTCTTGCGACCCCTGGCCCCCGACAGGACGGGCGGTTCGTGCAGCTGGGCGACCGTGGCAAGCTCTTGGAGCAGGGGACGGAGGTTGAGGTCGTGCCGCCGCCAGCGAAGCGCGCCGCCCGCCAGGTGATTGATTGTGTGGCGTAGTGGGTTGCTTTGCAGCAGAGTACAGCCCTACTGCTGTACTGTTGTGTGCAATCCGGGTAGTGTAGTATTATTGTCTTGATGCTCTCCTTCGGATCCGTACATTAGTTGAAGTGGTAACATTTTTGCGTCTTCCGTCCCGTCCAGCTACGTGTTTTCTGGCTACGGAAGATGTATGCAAATGTCGACAGACTCTTGGGCGTCAGCGGTTGTAATGCTCTACACGTCATGGTGCTTTTGCTCGTGATCATCAACATACCACCTTTGTGACCGTCATACCGTACACGCCATCGTGCGCATTCATTCGTCGATAACCGCTCCTTGTTCTCGACCTTACCAACACAACCCGATCACCTCTGTTGTACGGTTCGCCGCCCTCGGCAGCAACGCTCGCCCGCGAAGCGCAGAGTCATGTTCGACAAGGGTGATGGCGAAGAGGGAGGAGAGCAAGAAGGGCATGAGAAGCAGGCGCCGCCGGCGCCGGCCGTGACGGTGTCCACGGCGGAAGAGCGGGGAAAGCTCGGGGAGGGAGAGGTCCGAGGGCAGGGCAACAGCGCGCAGGAGGCGACGACATCCGCCCCGGCCACGGTCGAGCCGCCGCTAGCTGCTTCTGTCGTGGATGGCGGCTCCTCCAGCGAGGGCAGCTGCACGACTCCCGGCAGTAACGCGGCGGTGGTGGCGGCGCCAGCGCCGGCGGCGTCGAAGGACGTGACGGTAGCCACGGCGCCGGCGCCGACGGTCGCTACCACGCTCCCCGCTCTCCACACAGCGCACGGCGATGACGAGGAGCAGCAACACGGAGACGACCAGGCCGTTTCCAGCGCCACCAACCCTGCGGCGGCGGACGAGGCGGAGGAGGAGCCGCGGCCGGCGCTCGTGGTCCCGTCTCCCGAGGCCGCCGCCAACGGCAGTGCCGCCAACGTTAACCTAGGGGCTGCTTCAATCCCCAGCGGGGCCGCTCCTAGTGTCGCGGCCGACGCAGCAGCAGGAGGCGCGGGGTTGGAACAACGCCGGCAGGAGGACCTCACCCAGCCAGTAGCGAGGGCGAAGGAGGCGTTCCCGCTCGGGGTTGCGGCAGATGGTGATGGGGACGCGCTCATGAAAGACGCTCCGGCGGCGGCGGCGGCAGCGGCTGCTGTGGACGCCGGGCCGACGACGCAATCGAGCCAGATCAGCGGCTCGACATCCCTTGGAGGCCCGGCAGGGGGTGATGGCGGTTGCGACGGCGGTGTTGCAACGGCCCTGGCGGCCGCGGCGACGGCGGCGATGACGGCGGCGGCGGCAACGGCGATGGTAGCCGTGGATCCTCCGGCGGTATCGTCATCATCATCGTCGTCGAACGGAGCTCCTTCGGCGGCAGCCAAGGCGCAAACCGAGACCGTAGCGGCGGAGGAGGTGGTCAAGGCGGCCACGGCGGCGGCGACGCGCCAGCAAGCCAAGGCCGACCGCAAGCGGGCCAAGCGGGCGTGTGAGGGGGCCTGCACCCGCCTCCTGGAGACGCGCGCCTCCGTCGCCGCCAGGACGCGCGGGTGGTCCGTCGAGCAGCTGCTGGCGCTGCGAGGAGGGACGCTCGAGCTCGGGGCGGCCCTCTGCGGGCGGGGCATGCCCCGGGCTAAGGCGGCGTCGGCGTCGGACGCGGTTGACGTGGTGCTGCGCTACATCGACCGGCGCTTGCCGCGATAACGAGTTGCTTCTCCGACGTTGTTTGAATACTGGCAGATAGGTGGCTGCTGAGAGATACAAGCGTTTCGGTGCGTTGCGTGTCGGAAAGAGGCCAAGGCGGATGGATTTCACCGCGGTCAGTTGACGTTCGTCGATACGGGTACAGTACGTGTGCGCCAACGGCAGTGTGCCAGAGGGCGGCGAATGGTTGTTTTTGTCTGGCGAAAGACCCACTGTTTGAGCAATTGATCGCTTTAATTATTTACTGTAGCCCCCGTCCCGTCCCCCTTTGCAGCCGATCGATACAAACTGGGCAAGGAAGCAAGAGTCTGCCACCTGCACCAGCCAATCGCCCTGGCACTTGGTAGATCGCGATATCCAGAATTAGGGGGTGGGCGGGAATGGGGCGGGGGGGGGGGGGGGGGGGGGATCAAGGAGCGCCCCCTTTGGGGGGGGGGTTTTTTTTTTTTTAAACCGGGGGGCGGGCCGGGGAAGGAAAAAAAAAAGGGCGGGCAAAAAAAAATGTTGGGGAAAGGGGGGGAAAAAAAAAGTTTTTTTTTCCC